ACGGCATGTGGGATCTTCCCACGGGCACGAACCTGTGTCCTCTGCATCGGCAGATGGACTCTCAACCACTGCGCCACCAGGGAAGTCCAGTTCCCATATTTTCAAAAGTGAAGCATGTATACCTTCATAAATCAATAGCATAAAAATTTCTTTAGACTTGTACTTCTTAATCTTTTCAGTCTCTTCTTTATACTCTTAAACATTGTGAAAGATCCCAGGAGCTTGTTTATTTTGATTGTATGTATTGAAATTTAAAACTGAGAAGTAAAAATATTTATTAATTCATTTTAAAACAATATATTAACATAACATTTTAATTGTAAAAAGTTTATATTTCCCAAACTAAAATAAGTGTTGATGAAATGAATAGCATTGTTTCACATTTTTATAAATCTTTTAATGTCTGGCTTAAACATCTGGCTAAACATCTGTGATATGCTGTTTTCAATAGTCTTTTCAGATAATTGTGCATATTCTTCCTTGAAACTTCAGTAAGTGGCAGTTTTTTTTACAGGTTAGTTGTAATGTGCAGTCTGTAACCACAGATTTTGTACTCTAATATATTGAAATCCATTGGTTTATCTTACACTCTGAATAGATCTTTTACCTGTGATGATTTTGTAACATTATGTATTAGTCATTTGATAATATTGGATCACTGAATTGAGCAGATCTTCTAAAGTGTAGCATTTCATTATATAGTATTTGTTATGACCACTAATCTCATCAGAAAAGCCTTTAGGTATTTATTTTGAAGCTGTCAAGTTCATGGTGTAGATATAAGTCTTCTAGTATTCTGATTTTCTCCTGAAAGCTTGAATTTTATAATTGACAGTAAATGCTGCAGTTGTCTTCCTTGAAGTAATAAGCTGACTTTGTTCCTGGTTAAGAAAATGTCTGGCAAATACCCAAGTATGAATGACCATAGTTTGTTAGTTGTTTTTGCAGGTAAAAATGGTGGTTTATGAAAAAAGCACCTACTTCAGCTTGCAACTCAAATAATTGCACAAGTGCTTCCCAAGATAACTATCACTTTGTTGTGCAACTGAAGTGCTTTATGAGTATTTTCTATTTCATTACTAAGAATATTGAAAAGATACGTACTCAAGTATAAGGGTTTAATAATAATAATTTGTACTGCTTCAGCAAGTACCTTCTTAAGTGAAACTGTTCCCCTCTCTCCCCACCAAGATTATGTGGTAGTGAAGAGTATTTACTGCTAATAGTCTGGCGCCACTGCCTCAAGTCATGCTAAGGTGCCAGTAGTTTTACCCACTACTGGCTTAATACCATCAGTGCAAAGTCAGCACATTGAAAAGTATAAATAATGCCTTAATAATACCTTTGACCTTCCAGACCCCTGAAGGGTCTAGGGGACACCGAGTGGTCTTTGGACCCCATTTTTTCAAACTGCTGATGTATACCAACTAAAAAGTGGAATACAGCATTACACTAAAATAACAGTACTTTGATTAGGCTCAAGTGGTATTCCTCTTTTGAATGTATGGATGACTAAATATTCTAAAATCTCTTAATTCAAAAATCTCTTACTAACGTCATAAATATAATTCATGACATTAGTAACTCAGGGAAGAAAATGCAGGTGATGATTATAATAGAGTTTCTAAAAATCAAACTGATAGAACTAAAGAAGTATCCTTTTAAAATTTAAAAGCCACAAAAATAAAACCCATAGTCAAAAGGAATAAATCAGTGCTTTCTAAGCAGGAGGTATATGTGAATTTGTATGTGTCTGTGAATATCTTTACTATGTGTTGTGTTTCTCAAACTGAAAGTTATCATCTTTCCCAGTGATAAACAAGGAAAGTACTCCCATTAAAATCAGAAACCAAACAAAATTACCTAATATTGTGTGGCGTGATTAGCATTTTAACATTGTTTGGAAATTGCCACGTGATGTAGCATACCATGATGATAAAGAGGAATACATGTTTGAAAAAATATAGATGAATTGTGATTATAGGTGATGATAGTAAACCTGGAAAGCCTCAAAGAAACAACTGTTAAAAGAAAACTGTGTTAGGAACCATAGGATCTCAGATGGCGATCTAAATTTTTTATGTCAAATTTCAACCATTTCCTATAACAAAACTCTTCTAGTTATTGCTTAGGAAATATAATAGGGATAGGAACACATTCAAAAAGTAACCCACAGAATGAAATATACAAGATCTAATTGAAGAAATTTATAAGTATACCTTGGAAATATTGCAGGTTTGGTTGTAGGCTACCACAGTAAAGCAAATATCAAAATAAAGTGAGTCACACAAATTTTTTGGTTTCCCAGTGCATATAAAATTATGTTTACACTATACTGTAGTCTATTAGGTGTGCAATAGCATTATGTGTGTATACCCTAATTTTAAAATACTGTATTGCTAAAAATACTAACCATCATTTGAGCCTTTGGCAAGTTGTAGTCTTTTGGCTGATGGAGGGTTTGAAATACTGTGAGAATTACCAGAAAGTGACACAGAGACACAAAGTGAGTAAATGCTGTTGGAAAAATGGCGCCAATAGACTTTCTGACACTCGGTTACCAAAAACCTGAAGTTTGAAAAAAAAAAAAAATCTACGAAGCACAATAAAATGAGGTATGCCTGTATAAAACCAAAGGAAGTATAAAAATGGAAATATTAAGCTTTGTAAAGATAGCAGTCCTTTCTAAATTGATAAATTCAGAGCAGCAGTGGAATCCCAACAGGATTCTCTCGCTTTTGGAGTGTGACAGTATTGATTCTACAATTCATCTGTAAGGAAATGCTGAAAAGAATAATTAGAGGAATGAGTAGATAGAGGGGTTTGTCCTGTAAGTCTTATGAAAAATGTAAAGGTATCATATGATATTGACACCAGAGTAGATAAATCAGTAAATCAGAATAGATTCTCAAAACAGACCTCAGATATTTAGGGATTTAGCATATGATGCATTTCAAAATGTCTTCAGTAAATGATTTGGGGATAGCTAATTGACCATCAGGCACTGAGTTTTGCCAATATGCAATTATCAACTGCTGTCATGTCTGCTTCCCTAATTTCTAAAACTTTTCCCTGTCTTAGAATGTCTATTTCATCCTGTATGCTGCTACCAGTTAGATAACTTTCCCACTCAACTATCTTCCCAGAACACATAAAATAATTAAAACTGTTTAGCTAAGAGGTAATGAAACTGATTTTTATTATAAGGCTATTAATGAGCCAGGTGCTAGCTCATTTAATTTCACAGGTCCAAAGTAAAATTAATCCCCATTTTACAAAAGAGCAAGAGATTCTAAGCAATGCAATTTCACCAATATCACAGACAGGATTCAGTTCTAAAGTTTGTTTTCAAAGTCTCCATTATAGTTAGGCAGACTGCCTCTTGAAACTGTGTTGTATGGCCCCTGTCTAATGCTTCCAGCTAAACCTCCCTTAGCCCTAAATTCCACCTATACTGATTTCCTTAGTCTTCCTCCCACAAATGTTTATACTTTGCTACTTCCATGACTTTGCCTTTGCACTAATCTTTGCCAGTAACATAGTTCTCTTTTTCCCTTTCCCGCCTGTCTATTCTTTACTTATCCTTTGAGTTGTAGGCAAAATTCTGCACCTCTTCTCTAACTTGAGTACGTTTTCTTGTATTTCTGTAGTTGAAAGTATCCTTCATTTTCTTTATTCCATTATATTTTATACTTCTGTTATGGTGCACATAAATCTGCCAGGGATTGATTATATTCATCTAGTTACTTGGGTATATTATGTAGTATCCAAAAGTGAGAGAGTGGTTCTGACATAGTTTTCTTAAGCTCCGCTAAAGGATGTCTGGCAACTTTAGTTGTCACTTGCTTATGTACATTGGTGCATGTATTTGTATTTATGTATATATGGAATATTTTTACTTTTAGTCAGTGATGCATGGACCTTTTCTTTTTCTATATGAAGACTAGCTGATTATTTTATATAAAATGGGGCTTCCCTGGTGGCGCAGTGGTTGATAATCTGCCTGCTAATGCAGGGGACACGGGTTCGAGCCCTGGTCTGGGAGGATCCCACATGCCGCGGAGCAACTAGGCCTGTGAGCCACAACTACTGAGACTGCGCGTCTGGAGCCTGTGCTCTGCAACAAGAGAGGCCGCGATAGTGAGAGGCCCGTGCACCACAATGAAGAGTGGCCCCCGCTTGCCACAACTAGAGAAACCCCTTGCACAGAAACGAAAACCCAACACAGCAAAAATAAATTAATTCAGTATACTCAAGCATATTTAACCAATTTTTCATCTACATATTATCAAAACGTTAGTTTTAAATGTTTACCAGCTAGAGCTATCTATTTGTTATAGCATTTCTTCAGTTTACCATAACAAAGATTTACTAATTAATATAAAAATAATGAGGGATTTCAAGATATAGGTAGAGAGTAAAGCAGTTAAAATTTCTAAATACCTTGAAATCAGAGGCACTACTGAAATTGAAGCACTTCTGTTTCAGGAATGTGACTTTTTTAGGGTCCTCCTGTTGATCGAATTCAGCAGCAGCCTGCAGTTCAGTTAGCTTCTTCAGTGTAGGAAGTCTTTTCTATTACTGCAAACTTCATTATATTCATAAGAGGTGATGATTAGGTACCTATAAAACCAGAGAAAGACATATACTAAACTCTAGTTCCTCAGTTTATTAGCATAAAAATTTTAAATTTTGGTTCAAAATATGCTCAACATATTTTGAGTGTTGCCTGTGTTTTTAAGATTTGATTTTGCAGATATGAAGGTTTTCTTTCTACGAATTGGAATGTTTGGAGTGTTAGAAGCATTCACTGAAAATAAATTGAATTCTTAAAACAAGTAATTGATTTGGGATGACTAAAATATTTAATGAAACTAGTATACATTGTATCAGGACTTCAACATTTGTATATTTTAAAATGAGTTGATGTATAGCAGTTGTATGTATGATTTTTTTCTGTGTAGTTTATATTGATGTACTTCTTTTTGTGTGTTGTTCAGCCGTATATGTGGAAGTCCATGTCCTGCAGTGTGGCCTGATGTAATCAAACTACCATATTTCAACACCATGAAACCAAAGAAGCAATATCGTCGAAAGTTAAGAGAAGAATTTGTTTTGTAAGAAGGGGATGCTTAAACATCCATATTGCGTTGATTTTTTTTTTTTTAATTATTTCTTGAGAATTCTAAACGTCACTGTAGCCTCTGTTGACCTAAGGTCGACCTATCACAATTCTTCTATGTCATTTAATTTTGAGTTCCCTTTGCTACATGCAAATTACCATTTCACCATCATTATGAAATCAGTGCTTTGGAGTTATGTGTTTGATTTAGTGTTTACCTGCAAGAAGTTTAATAATACCATTTAAAATTTTAATGAAACCGCTTACAAGATACTTGAACTGAGTTTTTTACTTTGTTGTAGGAAACTATTCTGTTAAGTTTTTAATTTATGTTAAAACAGCAAATTGCCCATAGAGCACTAAAATATACTGTTTGCCAAATTTCAAATTATTTAGAATAATAATTATAAAATTATGTAAAAATAAATACTTCTTTAAAGGAATATTTGGAACTTACTGGAATAAAGTATCACAAACATGTTATAAAATGCTAATATTTAAAATAAGCTCCTAAAGAAACATTAAGCTTGAGTCAAAGAACATGCATGACTTTTATAATCCTCTCATGCCAGTATTCCTGCAGCTGCACTAGACTTATTTGATTACATGCTCGCCTTGGATCCTAGTAAGCGCTGCACTGCAGAGCAGGCTCTTCAGTGTGAGTTCCTACGGGATGTGGAACCCTCAAAAATGCCTCCACCAGAGTAAGTGACTTTTTACTATATGCAGAATCTGGACAATATTAATAACATCATTATGAAGCTATCAAAAGCTATTCCATGATTAGTTAAGTCAAAAGAAAGAATAAATCAAAAGGAAGAGAATAGCAATAGTGTACATAATTTGCACATCTAGAATGCAGAGCCTTGCTTTATGGTCAGCTAACCATAGGACTAGCAAAAGCAGCCTTCCTCTAGTTAATTTTATTAATATATTTCCACCCTAAAAAAAATGTTATTGCTGCTGCTATTGTAGTACTGTTTCTGCCAACACTAGTTGCTTAGCTAAAATTTTGAGTGCTATGCTAAGCATTTCTCATGTATTACATTAATCTTTATAATCTTAACAGGTGAGTATTATTATCACCATTTTACAGAGAAGAAAGCAGGCTCAGAGAGGTTAAGAAACTTGCCCAAGAATACAAATCTAGTAAAGGGTGAAGCCAGCTCTCAAATTCAAGTTAGTTCTATAACAAAAAGAGGTTCTGAAATATTCCTTAGCAGACTCTACAGTAGAAAATTCTTATCATTGAATAAAAATATTAGTGTCAAAAGCCTGTATGGAATGAGTCTACTGTCTGATGGTGGGAGGTGGGTGTCGGGAGGCAGGGAATGCACAGAATCTGGGCGTCAGAATGGCTGGGTTCTTGAACCTTCACTCCCTTGTGGCTCCTGTAATTTCTCTAGGATTGATTTGGGGAAGGGGGCAGAGCAGTCCATTTGGTTCTCCTTGATGGGATCTAGAAAGTTTGTAGAGATTTTCTTAGTAATTTTAAAAGTGATGATGAGTGTCACAAAAACAAGCCTGTCGCTATAATAATAAAATGTGTCCATGTAATAACAATTAGCATATTGTGAAGGAACAGACATGGGATTTGAAGTTCAAATCCTGGCTCTTCCACTTAATTAATTAGATTGGTCTTATTATAGTTCTATGAGACCATGATATTTGGCTTTACTTTTTTCTGAATTGAATGTGAATAGCCTTTGTGGGATGAATTGGAAGGTAAAAGGATCTATCATCTGACACGTTGAGGGACCTGAATCATTCACTGTTGAATTGTTTCATGGATTTTTTTGCTTATCAGTATATATCAGCAGTCTTGAAACTTTGGCTTTAGTACCCCTTTAAAGAAATTTTTTAAACTTTTGATTTGGAAAAATTTCAACTCTGTACAGAAAAATAGGAAGAATATTACAATGAGCAGTCATATGCTCTTCATCTAGGTTCAAACACTTAACTAAAATTTGGACACATTTGATTTATCACTCCATATCTTTTTTTCCTGAACTATTTGCATATTATATTGTGGGAATGACATTTCACTTATAAATAATTCACCATGTTGTCTATAAGAACTGGGACTTTATTCTGTATAACTACAATATCATTATAAAGCATAAGAAATTTAACATTGTGTTAGCTAATAGTTTATATTCAGATTTCTCTAGTTGGCACAATAGTTTCCTTTGTAGCCTGTTTTTCTGTTTGTTTTGGTTTTGGTTTTGGGTTTTTTTGGATAAAGAATTTATTCCAAGCTCACACATTTCATTTAGTTCTTAGGTCTCTTCAGTCTCTGGGGAAGACTTCCTACAACATTGACATTTTTGAAAAGCTAGCTGTTTTGTAAAGCATTCTACAGTCTGACTTTACTTCCTCATGATTAGTAATTAGTGTTGCTTTGTTTTTTTGGCAAGAATGCTACCTAGGGTAGTGATATGTGCTTCCTGCTGTATCACATCAAGAGGAATACAATGTCATTTTTCTCCCATTATTGGTAGTACTAAATTGATATCTTAGTTTAAGTGGTCCACATGAAAGAATTCTGGTAAAACTGTATTGAACACATTTTAAATAGACATCTAAATTTTTAAAATCAAGGGTTCAAATAGTTGCAAAAGGTATAATTTTCAGTGTATAAGTGTAGACACTTTAAAATAGAGCAGTTACATCATCTTGTAAATGTATTTAGTGGAATCAGAATGTCTTAGCAATTGATATTCATCAACATTCACTCAGAAAATGTATGAACAAACTCTTCAACAATTGGACACCGTTGGGTTTTTGTGTGGGTGTGTGTGTATGTGTGTGAACTTACATTGCTTCTGCACGTTTTTAATGTAGCACATATTTATGCTTGAAAGTATTTTATTGATTACCCTATAGTACTTCTTTAAAACAAATATATGTATATAAATGGAAATTTAATTTAAAAATTTCCTCTGACTACAAAGCTCTTTTTTTCTTGATTAAATTATTGCATGTATTAGTAGTACGTATTTCAGTTTAAAAAAAAGAAAAAAATTAGTAAATTTTGTTGGAGATGCAACCTTAATGAAATAGTGCTGAGATTTTTTTTCCTTAAGTAATTTGCGTATCCATTAATTAATATTACTTATGCTAGAGTGAGATACAGTTCCACATTAATTGTAATATAAAAATTTTTGTAAATACTCTTTTAAATAAGCATTTGAGACTGGATGGAGTTTTGTCATCGTTAAATCACTGAGTTCTTTGAACTTCTTCCACATTATGTCCCCAAAATCACAGTGCTCTGTCATCAAAAATTATTTTAATGACCTTTCAGATGTCAACTTAAGATTCTTTCTCTAATTTTCGTGACAGTAAAGAATTGGAAACCACATGACTTGCCAAAGATTTCTTATGCAGTCATTAATCATCTTTTTTTTCAAATTTTAAGAAAATAAACCAAAGAAGCTTTACCAATATTTATTACATGACTTCTTCTTACACTTGTTGCTTTTTCTTTTATTCGCACTTTCTTAATCCAGTATACTTAGAAAAGGTTAGGAAGTCAACATGTAATTTCAGTACTACTTAACCAATCCATTTGCTAAATTGTGTTTCTTGTTACGTTTTAAAAATATATGCTTTTGTCAAAATCTTGGAACTGTAGATGTATCCCATTCAATTTGTGGAAAATGTTTGCCACATAATATGAAATTCTGTTCATATTGTCAAGCACATCACCTAAATTCACTTAACTTTTATGAGAACACACCCAACTGCACTTTTGCATTAAAAATAAATGTTAGTACACATTTTGGTAAACATTCTGTAAACCAGCAATAAATTATGGCACATCTTTGTTAAGTACATCACTAAAGCAATCAGGTTGAAATTATAGTGATATTGATGTGATATTTAAATAAAAAATTATATAAACAATGTAACATCTCATTATTTTGTCATATGTTAAAATGTGAAGGTAAGGACTCTGAAGAAAGGCATTGGTATTCCTTTGGGAAATAGCCATGTGTATTAAACTTGTCATCAGTTTTTTTAGGAATAAGCAAATGAGTGGGGTAATAAAAAAAACTCCATTAATTTTATTAGATGTCCTGTCACACTTTTTTAATCTACTTAATGAAAAGAGTATGTATTGCTAAGAAGTGAATTAGGCCAGCAGCTTGTCTGTAGTTTTATTTTTTCTTAAAAGTATTAAACAATTCATAAGATAAATACGATCAACTATAATTGGAATAAATATTTCATGATATGATTAAAGAATACTTTTAGACTACCTTGCTGAATGATGAAACATGAATATAATTCTTACTATGTGAGAGGCACTGTCCAGGCGCTTACATATGTTAACATATATTACCTGATCTCCACAAGGTAGATTGTCTTGTTAACCCCACTTTTAAAGATAAGCAAACTGAGGCACCGAGGTCAAGTTACTTGCCTATGAGACACAATAAGTAAGTGGCTGAGCCGGTATTTGAACCTTTAGAGAAGAACACATTAAAAATTTGGTTGTCCTGGAAACATTCCTGGTACATCTAATAGTCAGCATCACTAACCTCTCTATCCTGTTTAGCTATGTGTTGGGGAATGTTTATCTTTCCTACTGTTGAGATCATCCATAAAGAATCTCTTAACGTTTTATTTGTGGGAGGGAACAGAAGCCCTTTTTAGTGGATTTCTTTGCTTTATTCTCATGGGACTCTCCCACAAAAGCAATGCATTCCTTGAACATCAAGATGGGAAAAAAATGAAATCACTCCAGTCCCCCCACTCTGCAGTACTGCAGTATGTCTGAATTCAGAATAACCCCAACAGAGGATAAGGTTACACATCTTGTAATACACACACACACACACACACACGTGCACAAACACACACACACACACACACACACACACAGGAAAGTCTTTGGCAGGTTTTTGATGCCTTAAAGCTTCCCAATATCAATATTTCAAATTGTCCCTTTGTTTGTTACTCCAGGAGGTTTTTACACGCTGAGGCAATGCACCATAGTAAGATGGCTGAGAGGTATGCCTTTGTTTTGTTTTTGGACCTCAGGTGCATAGACTTGGTTTAATCATAATCCTTGTGTCACTCATCATTAGTCCATGCATGGCTCTCTTTTGTTCTTTTAGTTACTTAATTTAATTAGTTATTTTAAATGATGTTAATAAGCAGCCATGAACTTACCAAATAAAAGCTAGAATCTTGACAATAACCTACTTTACTCATATCATACCCTCTCCGCCCACGACCTGTCCCCCTTGCCTTCCTCCACCTGAGGTAACCATCATCCCTGTTTTCTTTTGTATATACTTTTTGTTGCCATCTATATGTACTCATAAAAAGTTATATTTTACAATTTTAGTTGCTTTTAATTTTATGAAAGAGTG